TCATGCAGAGCATTGGCGACTTGTCCAACCAGGTGCAAGCCGTCGACGCAGCGACGCGTGCGGCGATTCTTGCTCGCATGGACGACTTTTCCGGGGAACTCGAGGCCACGCGTCGTGCGACAGCGACAACAATTCTCGAGGTGCGTCCACTTTGCATGTATCGATGTCTCATGTACGTACTTGTGTAGTCCAAGCACAAAGACATGCCCACGTCCTTCATGTACACCGAGCACCGCATCGACCTGGCCCATCCCGTGGTACCGGAGCCGTCCGCGGAGTTCCTGGCCGGCCAACGCGACGGGTTTCTTTATATCGTCGACGAGCGCACAGGCCTGCCCATCCTCGACCACGAGCACTACCCGCTTGTGGTCCCGCATCCTGAGCCCGACGACCGCGAAAAATTCATCTGCAGCCTTCTGGGTCCGTGCAACTGCGGCATCAAGTTCATGAAGGCGGCCAAAGCGGTGGCGACGGTCGTGCCAGCACTTGGTGCGGCGGTTCCGATCTTGGAGTCAGCACTGAATGGCCTCAAGGCGGTAGTGATGGGCGCGTTCTACACCGAGGACGTGCTCAGCCGTACTTTTGAAGAAATTGTGCGAGCGGGAGACCCCGATGGCAACTATGCCGGCGTCGTGCAGCACGCGCGCGACGACGGCTCAGTCTTCTGGGCGCAGCCACTCGACGTCCAAGCGACGCCCACCACCAACGAGCCCGCGGCGCCCGGTGCCAACGACGCCTGATTGCTTGCTTCCACCAAGGCGCTCTCTCCGAAATGCTTGGTTGGCTTTGCTTCGTCTTGCGTAATCCAGTGCGAATGCAATGCTTGTTTTGTATCGAATTCACTCGTTCTTTTACGCCTCGCATGGCGCTCTCGCAGCAGCCTCTCGACAACGTTCTTTGAAAATGGCGTCGGGAACGACTCCAAGGCCGGCCATGGACCGGGCGGAAGATGGTTTTACGCCTACGCTGCCCACTTAAAGTCACTACATCTTGAATGCGGAACCTGGATGGACATTCCCAATCAAGCCTACGTGTGTGAGCGCCGTGTGGATAACTGCCAAATGCCATACGGTCACTGCCAGCCAGGCCATGCTTGCGGCGGAGGCAGTGGCGTCAAGCTCCATCTTTGTCGTTTGTCGACGGTGCGCTCGAGCGCTTCTACTGTCCTACACAAGTCCAAACAGAAGCGTTGGGTTTGCCATGTCGTCTGGTACAAGCCGCCATATCGAGCTGCGTCTGGCTCGGGTCGCAGCCATCGACTGCTTCGACGCATCAAAGAGCAAGTAGGCCGTCCGTGCGCATTGTGCTCGCGCAGGACAAGGCCCAGCTAACAACGACAAGCAGCGTGCAGAACCACGTGGCCGTGGGCTTTGCCAAGGGCGACGGCGACGAATGGCTGCGGTCCATGTGCCAAGACGACCCAAGCGGCGTCGGTTTACCAGTGGAGCTGCACCATGCCTTGCAATTCATCACAAGAGGCTTCGCCGTCGGTCGACCCTCGCCATCCAACTCGAACGATTCATCAAGATCCGCGGTTCGACGTCTCCTTGTCCGCTGCGTCTGAGAATGGACGGAGAGTTGCGTCCGTTTAGCCGCGATAGAGACGACGATGGCTACTGCGGCTGCGTGCATTGTAGAAAGGCGCTCGCGTTTGTTTAAGCGCAAGCTCGGTGAGGTTGCGTTCCAAAGCAGAAAAGAAAAAACTCTAAAGCAGGCGTTCAACGTGGCATGACACCAACGTCAACCCGCATGTGAGCACCCCAGATGGTCGCCCGCATGGACGGTGTACGAGACACGTTGAAGCTGCGCGTGTCGTCAATGAGTTGCATACCACGTGTCGAGGAGGAGGAGCGTACGAATTTCTCGACACGGACGAGCCAGATCGGCACGCCACATTGCTGGTGAATGGCGCCGAATAGCTCTCGAAGGCTACTCTGGCACCAGCTGCACCACCCAGTGCATGGCCCCGAGCGCATCGCAACGAGGTGCCAGAAGGATGTGTCGTCTCGACCGGCTTGATGACGACGAATCGCCTGGGACGTCGTCAGCGGCTGCCAACAAGACGGCCTCAAAGAGCGCGGCGGCGGCTCCATCGTCCTCGGCAACAGCGGGAAGCGGCCCCGCGTCCGACTTGTATGACATGCCGGTTGAGATGAAGGTCATTTGTGGCGTGTGCATCTACCGGAGCATCTATGGGCACGACGACATCAAGCCGAATTTTGTAATCCCAAGCCATGCCAGACCATCTCTGGGGTTTCCGTCTCGGGTATTTCGCGCCCAAGGTGCGTCCCACGTATCGCTACGTCCCAGACGCCGCCGGCGAGGAGGCCGAGACCGCGTAAACATTTGAATGAATTTGTGTTTGGTGCTTCAAACGACTGTCTTGTGTCCCCGGTACCAGTACTCAGGGCTTCAGCTCCAATGCGCAAGGCAGCTAGACCCTAACGCATGTGCACCAAGTTGTCGATCTCGCTTGTACGCGAGCGCACCTCTTCAATTTGATTTAGTGGCGCTGGAAGGAGACAAATAACTCGGATTTCGCCGTTGCGTTAGCGCCGACGAGCTTGGTGCTAGGGGTCATCGTGGCTCGGCTCCAACGGCTAAGCCGCGGCTTGGGCCGAAAAGTGACCGGCTCAGGCTCCATTTTTCGAGCCGGCTCCGAGCCGAGGTCAAGCCGAGCCGAGCCGGTACAAGCCGGATAAGCCGATTGAGCCGCGGCTCCAATAGGCGTCGGACACATGCAGCATCTCCATGGTCAATGGCGCCAACCACAACATGATCCAGCACTTCAATGCACACATGTACATGCCCCGCAACGAAGAGATGGCCAACGAGGACATTGTCGTCCAATACTACCTTGACATGAAGTAGGTCCACCACAGAGACTAACACTAATACGTTATTTTTCATTTATTCACGAGTGCATTAATTTAGTGTATCAGGAATTGGACAAGCCGACTCAAGCCGGCTAGCCGATTTGGGGTCGGCTCAGGCTTGAGATTTCGAGCCGGCTCGAAGCCGAGCCGAGCCAAGCCGAGCCACGGTGACCCCTACTTGGTGCAAACACACTGCAGAAAGAGGCATCGCAGATATCATGCTCTTGCAACGAGATCAATAAGTCTAGATGTTCATTTCGTGCGCGTTCCTGTATGAGAATCCTACATGCCACTCAAGTACGACACGTAGGTCATCAACTCAAATTTGATCGGATTAAAGAGCGAAAAAATGCGATTCGACAAGGCCGCCCCCGTCACGCTCGAGGATCTCCATCGAGATGCGCGTCGCTCGCGCATGGGCTTTGATAGCCGCCTCGTCATCTTCCTTGATGCTGAGCTTGAGCGTCACGTTCGCGCGACCTGCGAGCGTGCTGAGAAAGACGAATATATCGTCAGTGCAACCGATGACGCAGTAATAGTGACAGGCTCGCAGGTCGAGAACGAATGGCCGTGCATCGTTCGAGCATGCGCGGAGCGACTGCGCAAGGCAAGAGATGCTCGCTGTGGGTAACTCGAGCTGGTTCGTCCCGACCATCAAGATGCCACTTCTTCAAGAGCTGGCACTGCGATCCACTACGCTCACGGTGTCACGAGCCACTCTCGTCAACATTTCTTTGCCGAGCCTACGCGTGACGCTGGACGACGCCAGCTTTGACGACGAACACAAGCCCGAGGGGCAGCAGCATCTACCAAACCGTGAGTCCGTTGTTCAAATGCACCTCGAGCCGCGCGTTCTCCGAGTCGAGCTTGGCCAAGTTGGCCTGCGCGCGGTCGGCGACGCTGCTGATGAGCTCCGCGTCGTCTTGCAGCGATTCGTCGTAGCTGTGCGCATACGCCTTCAAGTGCTGTGTCATCTGGTACATCTCGGCCTCCATCGCGTCCTTCTCTAACCTAGTGCTATCAAGGGAATGTAGTTGTGATACGCATGCAATCGCATTCTACATGCGTGCAGATGGACCTGATAGGTCG